AGAGAGAGAGAGAGAGAGAGAGAGAGAGAGAGAGAGAGAGAGAGAGAGAGAGAGAGAGAGAGAGAGAGTTGAGCGATACAAGATGGTTGCTACGCACCTGCGCTGAAGACATCACCACGGAGAGAGAGAGTTGAGTGATACGAGATTGGTTGTGCGGTCCAAGACGAAGTAGCGGCCATAGCCGCGGTGCTCGGCACACAGAGGAGAGAGGAAGGTGAAGTAGAGAAGGGAGGAGAGATCGCAGAGGGAGGGAGGAAGGATAACGAAGTTGGACTGACATAGCCGAGGGTGAACAAAAAGAAAAAAAGAAAAAAAGAGAAGAAAAGGAGAAGAAAGGTGAAGGAGGGGGAAAGAGAAGTGAAGGGTGGCAGGAAGAAGGTGTTGGCAGCCATAGCCGACCAGAAGGTTGATCGGGCGTTGACCAAAGGGTTGATCGGAGCGTTGACCGGGGTGTGACCGCGTTGACCAAGCGTTGACCGAGGCGTTGACCGGAGCCGTTGGCCACGAGTTTGACCAAGCTGGAGTTGGTATAATCTCGCGAAGCCCTTAGCTACCCCCTCGTCCTATGGATGTGCACTCACCCTATGGTACTTGCCTAGTTTGAGTCTGTCTGTCTCTTCTTTCTGCATCGAGTCTCTTTTGTCCAGGTGATAGGACTCCGTGTATGAAGGATAGGGCCTCGTTGACCAAACCCACACGGGCTGAGTAGGGCTAAAGACTGTGTTTGACGACTCAACTGTCCCGGAGGACACGAACCCTCCCAAGGACCGGTACTGACCGGCGGGCTGCTCGGTGTGGCACGGTAGGCCAAAAATCCGAGTTGTGGGCTGCACAACGGGCCGTCTAAGTCTTGAGAGAACCTGCTGACCGCGTTGCCCTGTCTGCGACGTTAAAGAATTCCTGAGGAGTTACGGGGGATCTCCTTAAATGCCTCCTGGTCAGCAACAGGCTCTGTAGTGATGACTTTAGTGATTAGAGTTTAGGCTAGAGACCATAGTTGACAGGGCTCTCGATGAACCCTGTGGTCCATAGAGTGAGTCAGTCTTAAGTTGACTTAGTTAGGGGGAGAGTCTAAGTGGTCAGACAAAGAGAGAGGCTGAGAAAAGAGCAGGAAGAGAAGTTGTAGGTGGTGGAAGAGGAGGAAGAGGTAGAAGAAACGCCACTGGAGAGGAGAAGAAGGGGGCAAGGAGGTGAATCCAGTGGTACAAAGGAGGATCAAATGGAGAAGAAGATTACGGAGTGGGTTGCCGGTTTGTCCCTGGGAGAAGAAGAGGAGGCCCTAATGTATGTGCCCAGGGAAGAACAAGAGGCCGCCATGAAAATGTGGGATGCAGAAAAAGACCCACTCAAGCGGCAAGCTATAGAAGATGAGAATAGGATGGAAATAATGGAGGAAAAGAGGAAAAGAAGAATGGAGGCAGCGAGCCAGGCGGTGAAAGAATTGGAGGAGGTGAAAAAGCAAAGAGAGCAGATGGCGACGCAGGTGGACCTATTGGGGAAGATGGAAATAATGGCGAGGAACATAGAGCGCCTGGCACAAGTCCGGGAAGAACAATATCTATTTGGTAGAGGTCAAGACATTGCCTCACGCTCTATACGGCTGGGGCTCAGGGACTTCGCCAGGGAATTGGCGACGCAGGTGGGCTCAAAGGTGAGGGCCCGCCTAGAGGCCACGAAACGTTATTGTACGGGCGCCATAGAAGGCGCGAAGTTGGCTGCTCCCAAGGAGGAGGAAGCATGCCCCCGAAGGGAGCCTGTCAAGGTCAAGTTCCCTGACTCCTATAGTGGGAAGAAATAAGAGAATTTTGACAATTGGGAAGCTAATGTCAAAACCTACGTCCATCTGCAGAAGGTCTCCCCGGACGAGCATGTCCTGATAGCTATCCATGCCCTTCGCGACGAAGCAGCAAGCTTCGCCCGTTCCTTGTGCCGCGCTGCTAACTGTAATGATGATCTAGTCGCCTATTCTGCGTTCACTCCCCTCACTGACTTCCTTAAGTTATTGCGCGAACGATTCGCAGATGTCTCGCGCAGTGTCAAAGTCTTCGATAGATTGCAAACCATCCACTGTCGTCAGTGGAAGAGTGCCAGAGCACTGAAGGGCGTGATGGATGAGTTAGTCGCCGTTCTGGACCATGGGGTCATAGAGACCCAATTGGTCAACCTCTTCTATCGGGCTATGCCCGAACAATTACGAGGGCACTTCTTCGAGAAGAGCCAACAGCCAACCATGACCTACGACGCATTGAGCAGGGAAGTGGTGGCATTCGAGGCGAGGTCCATGTCAATTTTCACTTTTTGGCATAAGGACCTGGATAAGGGTAAAAAGTGGAAGGGTCGCACCATCTCGGGTCAAGTCAAGACCAAGGATCGTTTGATCCTTACGTTAGATGAGGGTGGTGTCGACGAGGTCCCCTACGAGCAGATTAAGTGGGGACTGGAGGAGGAGGACAGTGGCGTTGGCCAGGGGAGGACTTACGCTGCTGCCGCGGTTGGAGGCCGCAAGGAGGAGGTAGAGGCCAAGGCCAAGGGGGTCGGGTCTTAGGGGGCCATTCCCAAGGCGATCAGGGGGTCGGTGGTAGAGGAGGAAACCGCCAAGCGGGAGGAAGGGGTCAAGGTCCCCCGCAAAACCGTTCAGGGAATAGGTCGCCTAATAGGGGTAATAGATCACCCTATAGGAGAGGAGGATGGCACCCAGGTCTGCCATAGGGTAGGCCTTGGGAGGACTTGGGCTTGGACCAGTGCGTGGACCAGGGGCAGTGCATTTATTGTGGTGACCCTGGCCGCATCATCAAATATTGTCCAAAGTACAGAGAGGCCCGAGGGGCTGCCCAAGGGTCAAAAGGCAGCCGCTGGTAGGGGTAACTGCCCCTACCATAAGGCCATGTCGGGAAATGAGCGCGAGCCGGCAGGAATCTCGTACACCACATGTGCCTATGGTAGAGGTTGCAGGCCGGTGCCTAGATAGCTGTCCAGAGACTGCTTGTGTTAGGGTCTCTCTAGGCACTTCCCTCACAGGCGTGGCCGATGAGCTAAAGGAGAGGATGCCCGCCTGGGCCAAGATGAAAAAGGAGAGTAGAGGACAACTAGTTTTGGTAGATGTAGAGATTTTCAGAGGTAGAATAGGGGCCCTAGTAGATAGTGGGGCCACGCGCAGCTATATCAGTAGAAAGGCGCTGCAGAAGTTGAAGTTGGGGCTAAAAGTCCAGAAGCTAGCAGACCCCACAGTGAGCATCCTCGCAGACAATCGCACGATGCGAGTAGAGGATTATGTAGAGGGAGTCCAGGCGTACTTTCGCCTAGAGAAAGATGGGAAGGTGGAGAAAGTTCTCCGTTCCCCGACTCTCCTCGTAGAGGATAACCTTCCTTTTGACATAGTTCTGGGAATGGACTGGGGAGAGGCGGTCGGGGCCACACTCCATTTGAGAGAGCACGAATGTAGGCTCCCTAGTCCGTCAGGCGGGGTCAAGACTGCTCGTTTGTTCCACGTGTCAGGAGTAGATAAATCCCTGGCACACTGTTGCCTAAGTGTTCCTGCATTTGCAAGATTAGTGAAGAAGGAGCAGCTAGAAGAACAGGTCTTTGTAGCCTATGTTAGGCCAATGACTGAGCCTAAAGAGGAGAAACCTATAGACCCTGCTATTGCCAAGCTGCTCGAAGAGTTTACAGACTTAGCTAAGCCGCCAACAGGAGTAGTACCGCGACCAATCTAGCATCATATTGAAATAGAGCCTGGCAGTAGGACTCCTAAGGAAGCAGTGTATAGGATGTCCCCTCGGGAGTTGGAGGAGTTGCGCAAGCAATTAGACGAGCTTCTAGAGAAGGGTTGGATTAGGCCCAGTTTGTCTCCATTTGGAGCACCTGTTCTGTTTGTCCCCAAGAAGGAGGGAAACCTCAGAATGTGTATAGACTATAGGGGTCTCAATGCTATCACCGTGAAGAATGCAGAGCCTCTGCCCGGTATAGATGATCTTTTAGATTGGGTGCAGGGTTGCATGTATTTTTCGAAGATAGATTTGAAGTCCGGATATCATCAGATAGAGGTCCATCCGGACTAGATATGAGCACTACGAGTTCATGCCCTTTGGACTAACCAACGCGCCAACGACTTTTCAGCGCTGTATGAATGACTTGTTTAGGCCGTGGTTAGACAGGTTTGTAGTAGTCTACTTAGATGATATTCTAGTGTTCAGTAGGACCCTCCAGGAGCATGAGGGTTATCTAAGGCAGGTCTTGGAGAAGCTTAGAGAGGATAACTTCAAGATCAACGCAAAGAAGTGTGAATGGGCAAAGACCCAAGTTCTGTATTTAGGCCATGTCTTAGACGGAGACGACATCAAACCAGAAGATAGTAAGATTGCAGCGATCAGAGATTGGCCTACACCCCGCACGTTGACAGAGTTGCAGTCGTTCGTAGGCCTAGCTAACTACTACAGGAAGTTTGTTAGGAACTTCTCCACCATCGCTGCTCCCCTTCGCAGGTTGCTGAAGAAAGAAGCGATCTGGAAGTGGGACAAGGACTGCACGTGTGCCATGAAGAAATTAAACCAGGCGTTGATAGAGTACCGTGTCCTCAAAGTAGCCGATTCGTCCTTACCTTTCGTCGTCACTACTGACGCGAGCCAGTACTGTATAGGTGTTGTGTTACAGCTAGACGATGGCAATGGGTATAGGCCCGTAGAGTTCATGTCCGCTAGGATGCCTTCAGAGAAGGTAGCGACATCTACCTACGAGAGGGAACTCTACGCTCTCAGGCAAGCATTAGAGCACTGGAAGCACTACTTGCTTGGGAGGCACTTCAAAGTTTATTCAGACCACGAGACATTAAGGTGGTTGAAGACTCGGCCAAGATGACACCTAAGCTGACTAGGTGGGCCGCAAAGCTAGACCAATATGATTTTGAGCTCAGGCTCGTCAAAGGGAAGTATAATGTAGTTGCGGACGCTCTAAGTAGGAGAGCTGATACTTTCCAGCGATAGTTCATTATCTGGATATAGGGAGAGACCTGCAACAGAAAGTTAGAGAGGCGTATGCGCAGGACCCTATCTATAGTGACCTCCTTAAGAGAGTAAAGGAGGCCCCAGAGTCAGAACCAGACTACCGCACTATTGATGGGCTACTATTCGTGAAGACTAACGTAGTTGACCGATTGTGCTTTCCTAACAGTGAAGAGATCCGTAGTTTGATCCTAGGGGAATGCCACGATACTGAGGGATATTTTGGTTGGCAAAAGACTCTAGCTAACCTCATGCGCGCGTACATATGGCCTGGAATGAAGGCCGACTGCATACAGTATGTTCGCAGTTGTAAGGTCTGCCAAAGAAATAAGACCTCTACGCGTGCCCCTCTAGGTCTTCTCAGCCCCTTGCCTATTCCTGATCAGCCAGGAGATTCAGTGTCCATTGACTTTATGGACACCCATGTCAAGAGTAGGCACAGCAAGAGCCAAGTCATGGTAATAGTTGACAGATTTAGTAAGTATGTTGTTTTTATTCCTTTGCCCTCAGAGGCACGCACATAATTAGTTATTCAGAAATTCTTTGATCATTGGGTCAGTGAACACGGGATTCCACTGTCTATAGTTAGTGATAGAGACACCCAGTTCACTAGTCGGAACTGGCAGGAGTTGATGAGAGTCTATGGCTCCAGGTTGTTGATGTCATCTGGCTGTCATCCAGAGACTAACGGTCAAACTGAACAGATGAATAAGATCCTGCAACAAGTTCTGCGAATGTACATTAGACCGGATCAGATCAATTGGGATGAGATGTTGCCCAAAGTAGCCAGTGCGTACAATAACAGCGTGCACTTGTTTACCTGTCGAACTCCAACGAGTTACACAAGTCCTTTAGACCACATAGACCGTTTGAGGGACTTAACCGGGACCAGATTCACAGGCTACTGCCCGGTACTAGGGAGTTTGCATTACAACACGAGAAAGAGTTAGCTACCGTGGTAGAGAACCTCAAGAAAGCCCAGCACCGAATGATAGAACAAGCTAATAAGCACCGTCGCCCATCACAGTGCCAAGTAGGCGACCTGGTCTGGGTCAAGTCCAAAGAGTTTGCTCCTGAGGAAAACATCTCGCAAAAGTTACTGCCCGCGCATAGAGGACTGTGGCCAATTCTGGAAGTTAAGGGCGGAGCGGATGGGCCGTCCAACACAACAGTTTCCATCTAGGAGATCCATGATTCCTCCATATATGGACGGAAGGTACGACATTGACGGCATTGTAGGTGAAGACGTATTCAAAACAGGAGGTAGAGGTCGTCCACAAAAGCAATACAAGGTTCGGTTTGCTTATCAGGAACCAGAGGACGACCGCTGGTTTACTAGAACAGAACTTCTAGAAACAGCTCCCGACATAGTTAGAGCCTACTAGAGAGATAAGAAACGTAAAGGTCCTGCCTTGGACCGAGTTATTCTCGGAGGACCTCGAATTTAGACCGTCAGGAGTGAAACGGTTTTCACCTTTAGCAATAGCGAATGCAGATCCCAGGGCTCGATCCCTAGTTCTCACCTTACCTGTGTACAATATCTGTGTCGACCCCGAGTGTTTGAACCCGTGACCTGTGTTTTGGCAGTTGTTGTTGTCTGTCATAGGTCTGTGTAGTGTAGGGGTTCGATCTGTAGGTCTGTCGAGTAGGAGTCACAGCCCTGTAGAGGTCGTAGCTGTAGGGATCCTGAAAGGTTAAGGTCGTAGCTGCTACAGTCTTGAGCGGTCAAGGTCGTAGCTGCTACAGTACCCGAAAGGCCAAGTCTACAGACTTTCGCAAGGTCCCGGAAGTGGCCTTTCGGAGTGGGCTCACGTTTAGGTAGAGGCAAGTGCGCAAGTGGTGGAGCCAACCTCAGTACGTTGGCAGTGCGACTGCACCGAGTCTGCGGTGCAAACCCATGCAGTCAGCGGTACCGGTCCAGTCAGTCCCAGTCCAGTCCAGCAAGTACCATGAGGGACTGTGTGCACCATGGGCCGATGGAAAAGGGAAGGCCAGCGAGTCACAGAAGTATAAATCAAGAGGCAACGCCCAGCCATTCATTGATTTCCTGCGTAAGCCATGCGGAAACGCTGCCATAGCGACTTGTGCAAGGTGGTATGCAGTGAGCCCAGGGACGAAGTGGGCGAGGAGAAGCTTAGCTATAGCGATAGGGTAGCAACGGCCATAGCCGCCATAACTCTAGATGTGTGCGGGTGTGTGTGAGTGTACAGAGTGTGATGTGTGTGGGATATCCAGGGTGATCCTGTGTGCGAACAACGGTGTTGAGTAAGTGACGAACAGAGTTGTACAGGCGATGTGCCGCCATAGCCAGTTGAAGTGAACTTGTATCTAATATGTGTTATGGGTTACCATATCTTTACGTTTTGAGTGGGCGCTTGATGCCAGTTTGCTGCGCAACCTGTTTGCATGCATGTGAAGTGTGAATGAAAGCGAGTCTGATTGCATATAGGGTTCAGCCTCCTGATGAGTCGGTGAAACTCCGACGAAACAGTTTGCCACAACCCCTCGTTTGTTGTCCTCTTCTCCCTGCTTGCCTGCGGTTTACCGGGCAGCTCTGTTTGACGATATATATATATATATATTTATATACATATATTTAGGGTTGCACACCCCGACGGTCGGCGGCCCTTGACTGGTCGGCACCTAGCAGTCGGGGATTGTCGGCACCCCGCACCTTTTTTTTTTTTTTTTTTTGGGATCCAGAACCCCTAATAACCCCACCCACAACCCCATAGCGGCCACCAATACCCACATACACCAACCTAACACTCCCGAACCACACCCAACATCCTTATTAACGCCCCCAATATTCCCTATATCACCCCTACACTCTGCCTATACTCCAACCCATACCTGCGTCGCATCGCGTGCGAGCGAGCTCCGCACACACGGCGCATAACGCACGTGTAAGCATGCACGCGCACGTGATGCGACGCACCCCACTAAATAGGGTATAAATTTTTTTTTGGAGAAGGCTGGCTGAGATAGCCAATGGCGCACCTCCCCATAGAAAAAAACATAGGGCCCACGTATTTTCCTTTTTAAATAGTCTTTTTCGCGGAGGACCCCAGCAGTACATATGCAAGGGTCCGAACATCTCACGAGATGTTCAACAAATTTCATATGAAAGAAGAGCAGGCCAGCAATATATGTTCTGGATCCGAAGTCAGGTCTGCTTTCGAGCAGTTATGGGTTACAAGTTACAACTACTTGTCACCGTAGCTCTCTCTTTCGTTTGTTTCTTTTTCCTACGAGCAGTGGCCCTAAGGGCCTTGCTCCACTCGTCACCAACACAAAAGACAAAACATATGGCAGCGGATGTGTTCCATGTTCTAGCAGAAGATTCATTCCTCTATTTCTTTTGTTTCTTTTTCCTACGACAAGTGGCCCTAAGGGCCTTGCTTCACTCGTCA